AATGCATCATTTCATTTCACTCACACCCACTTAATTCCAGACTAGTATGACTCCATTCTGAGTCACACTCCAACAGCCTACAAAAAGTTCAGGCTGTTACCAATGCTTAATAGAAATACCCATTCATTGTTTGCTTCGTTTTCTTAAATGCTTTGGTGGTAACTAGACAACTGAATTCCTATAATGTCTATGCTGATACTTTAAAATCATCCTGAAGTGCTAGGTGACTGATCTTTCTGAAAGGTGACATTTCATTCCCGCCTAAATAGCTCACTTTCATGTAATTATACAAGAGGTTAGATCTCACCATAAGCTAGGAAAAGTAGGCAGATAAGTTATTCTGCATGATAACAACCAGCACAATCATTCTGATACTCTAAACATTAAGGAGGGGCTTACCACTTGAATGGTAGATAGTACACATATGTTTGATCTGGCTGCAATAAAAATGAAAGTAAAGGAACAAAAATAAAAAAAAGGAAATGAAATCCCAAGAATGAAAAGAATAAGCTAAGAATCACTAACAGCCGAAACTGGTTTGGCTCAGTGGATAGAGCGTCGGCCTGCAGACTGAAAGGTCCCAGGTTAGATTCCGGTCAAGGTTGCGGGCACATCCCAGTAGGGGGTGTGCAAGAGACAGCTGATCAATGTTTCTCTCTCATCTATGTTTCTGACTCTCTATCCCTCTCTCTTCCTCTCTGTAAAAAATCAATAAAATATATTTGGGGGAAAAAATCACTAACAGATGAAGATATTTATTTATTTGTTTGTTTATTTATTTATTTATTTATTTATTTATTTATTTTAGGGACGTCAGAAAAGAGATGCAACCATGTGATGGATTGAACAGAGGGAAGGAAGCCACAAGTCAGATACCACCAGGAGGACCATAGGAGTCATCTGTCCAGTAAACCCTCAGAGATATTCTGGGGTTGGAAACTTGGAGTCAAACTGTCAATTTGTCAACAGAACAAGATAATATTCAAGGACTCAGGAACTTTCTTTCTTAGAAGTTACTTGATGTACTTACTTGAGGAAAAAAACAAGAGGGAGGAAAATCAGAAAGAAAATGACCTGCAAAACATAAGTCAGTGGGGACCAAAAAAAAGGCATAGATTCCAGGTTATATAATAGATAGAATAAATAAAGTGATGGAAGATATTTGAGCATACTGAAGAAGGCATGCTACTTTTCTTAGGGAGAAAAAAGGCAATTAGAAATTCTAGAAAAAACAAACAAATAAAAAACAGAAATTAAGTTGTGGTTCAAATGTTAATCAATCTAAAAATACGGCATAATTTTGCCCTAGTCAGCTTGGCTCAGTGGATAAAGCATCAGCCTTCAGACTGGAGAGTCCTGGGTTCAATTCTGACCAAAGGCACATGCCTAGATTGTGGGCTTGATCCGCAGGAGGGGGCATGCAGAGGCAGCCCATCAATGGTTCTCTCTCATCCTTGATGTTTCTATCTCTCCTTCTCCCTTTCTCTCTGACATTAATAAAGAACTATTCTGGACCCAGGTCTTATCTGCTTGGACATGTAACAGGCTATATAATGGGAGTATAGAGGTCTTCTTTACTCCCAATTCACACCATGTACGAACTGTCAGGATGTTCCCGGAATGCTGCCAACCGTGGGCAGATGTCAGGATTTCCTTTGGTGTCACTGGAAGAGATTTGGTGATCTTTGTGAGGTTGAACTATATAGGTTGTTTTTTTTTTAATCTAGGTTTTTTAATGGATGACCTGGGATGGAATTGCTTTCCAACTTGATCTCAAAGCCAATTAAAACCTAAAATTAACCATTGGAAGAATTAAAACTCTAGCCTTAACTTAGCTCCTTAGGGCTTCATTCTAAACTTGCCAAGTGCTAGGGTTTTTGTGTTGTTGTTGTTGTTGTTGTTGTGTGTGTGTGTGTGTGTGTGTGTGTGTGTGTGTGTTTTATTCAGCCTCTGGTGACACCGCTGAGCGGGAATAGGGCTCCTCATATCTGGTGGTCTAGGAATTTCAATTTCCCACTAGGCTTCCTCTGACGCCTCCCTAGCTGGCAGGGGTAGGGGTGCCTCATCACTGCCCATCATCTGGCATCCACTGACACCCCTGTGGGGAGGGGTAGTCTCCTTACAGATGAAAGTCCTGATTCTCCACTTGGCCCCTCCTCTGATTCTATCCAGCAGGGACCGGAGGTGCTTCTCATTACTGTCAGGTAGGGGTGGAAGTCCAGGCTCAGCACGGGGGTGAGGGGGAGGTGGGGGGTGGGGGGGCTATAGGTTTTTACTGTGTGGTGTTTGTCTCCAGCGGAGAGGTTATTTCCTAAAAGTTATCTGTCTTGGTAGGCTGCATCTTTTTCATCCTTTGGCTAGAGAGAGTAGCCTTTCACTGGGACATTTTTGTCTGTGCATGTTGGCATTTTCAGGTTTCTGGGTTTTGGTTTCTCTAATACCCAATAAGGGACCATAAAGCTAAATGAAAATCCCAGAACTTAACACTCTGTTCCTCTTCAGGTCCTGAGGCCCCTCGCTGGTATGCCTTCTTTTCTCCACCTACTTTATATATAAGTAGAGGCATGATGCACAAAATCTGTGCAAGAGTAGGCCTTACTTCCTGGCACTGGCTTCCCTCTGGCACCTGGGACCCGGGCTTCCCTCGCAGCCCTGGCTTTGTCCAGAAGGTCTTCTGGTCTAATTTGCATATTATGCTTTCATTATTACAGATGTTCAGATGTTAGTTGTATTTATTGGGAAGGACAGGGAAAAATATACTTATCTCATCTTCCCAGAAGCAGAAATGAAGAGCCTATAGGGCACAGGAACAAAATTTTAAACAAAACTAGAGGCTGAGACTTAGGGAGAAGTTGCAGTGCCTTGTGCACAAAGATATCAGGAAGGCAATCGAATAAAGAAAGCCAACCATAGGTAGGAACTACCCTTGCAAATACAAGACTATCTGCAATCACCTTCAAATAGTAATCCTTAAAAAATCATAATGCTTTTGATAGAGTTCCATGAAAATCTCAGAGCCTTAATTTATAAATTAGTAATCAAATAGGGCTTCTGAAAGGAGATAGTAAACTACATGGTGTAGACAAAGCCATCACATCAGTTTAAAAAAAAAAAAGGCAAATTAAAAAGATCCCATGCCCAGCTTCAGGTCTGCCTGCTTCTATTTCTGAGCCCTCGTTGGAGTCCTAAGAGAATACTCACTGTTCATAGGAGGCAACCTTTTGCAAAGTAGTACTAATTTTCAAGAAAAGAGCCCTATAAACAACCTAGAGAAACAAAAACAGTAGCCCACAATAAAAATGACAAAAACAATCTGATTGGATATAAAATCTCAGGAGGACTGGGATATAAACTTTAGGAGCTGGGAGATCAATGGCTGTGTTGTCCCGTGTTGTAAATAGCTCTGCTATGTAGGTTGACATAGTTGAAAGGCAAGCGCATTTCAGCAGTTAATTATAGAAACCTGTCCAGGGAGCTACATTTATTGGTTGCAGGAGGTCTATTCTAGCTAAAACCTAAATAAACCAAGAAGAGAGGGTCAGGTAGAAAATGCTAGGAGACTGTTTCAATGGTAGACATGATCCCCCCCCCCCTTTTCCTTTCTTCCTCCTTCCTTCTTTTTGGTTGGTGTGGGGTAGAGGGTCAGGGTGGAGAGACAGCCAAAGAAGAAAACTATTTTTGTAACAGTTGCAAATGGGAACCCTGCACTTGGTACCAGTTCCTGGAAACATTGCTAGCATGCCCAGAACCAGGAGTGAGCGTGCATGGAAATTATCCAATTTCTTTGCTTTTTCTTTAGGCACTTCCAACTCCCTGAGTGACTGGGCAAAAGGTGAAAGTCAAATCTGTTGATTCTGCTACTTAGATTAAAAGGTTGGGTGAGCACAATTTAGGTAAATGAGTAGATAAAATGAATTGGGGGTGGGGGAGAAGGAAGTGAGCATCCTGGGGTTCTGATTGCCCTAGCTTCTCCTCTCTCACCTTCCTCCTGTACTGCCCTTCTAGAAAGGATTCAAGTCTTGCTTTTGTGTGTCCCTGACTCCCAACTCTTTGATGGGGAATTGGCAAGCCCTGCAATTATCTCCAAAGAGTTGAGATCCAAATATGTACATCACAGACAGAAGAATGAATAAATCTCTCTGGCACGCATACACACTACTCTCTGGACTTTCCTGTACCTTCAGTTTTGCTTACAAAAATGGATGCACAGAATTTTAAGACAATGGAGAAATATATATTGGAATGGAGAATAGGACTTCCTAGAAATTCCACCTTTCAAAGAGAACGATTTTTATCAACTTGTTTTCCTACTCTTTCCCCAATGTAGGAAGCAAACTGAATGTTCGTGTTGTTAAATGACATCACAGAAATTAAACAGTTATGTTATTCATGGTAGGTTTCTGTCCATTGTTTCCCAACGAACAGACACTACAGAGTACTGCTGCCTGCATGAAAAGACCCACGTATTACTGCAGTTAAAAACATGTTTTTAGGGAGTTTCTTCTACCTAAAAATTGCAGCAGCTGCTGCGAGCCACAATTCAGTATCAGCTGCAAGGAGGCAACACATGCAGCTACACCCCTCCGCGGGGGGTGGTTCTGGGGGGTCAGGTGCTGGAAGGAGGAGTCAGCGGGCGGCAGCTACCGCCCCGCACACGCCCTCCGCTCTTTGGTAAACAAGCGAACTCCCGCAGCCCGCTCATTGGGGGAGGAGCTAGAGGGCGGGGCCAGGGCGCCTGAGGAGGGTATTCCGAAGCCTCATTGGTGGTTCTCCAAGTGCGAGGACCTGCGAGTCTTGATTGGTTGGCTCCTGGCGGGGCGGTGCCTCCGGGGGCCGCGCTCCGCCCCGAGCGGTCGCGTGCCCGCCCCGAGCGGCAGAGCGCGTGCGCGCGCGGTCCACGCCGGCGCCGTGCCCGCCGGGCCGCGCACCCTCGCAGGCAGTGGGCGAGCCGGAGCGGCGGAGGTCACCGCGGGGAGGCGGGGCGGGGGCAGCGGGGCAGCATGGCAGCCTCCTTCTGGCTCCGCGGAGCCGCCTCCGGCCTCCGGGCCTGGAGCCGCCGGCAGCGGCCGGCAGCGGCCAGCCTTGCAGCGGGTAAGGACCTCGCGCCGCCTCTCCCCGTCCCTCCTCCGGCCGCCCACCTCTGGCGACCTGACGGCCCGAGAGGTGTTTTCCACCGGAGGCGCTGCGGTTGGGTCGGGGCGCACCACCCCACGTCTTGGCTGGTGTCCCTGGGCCTGGTGTCTTTGCGCCGCTGTGTTTCCCCCTAATGATACCCTTGCCCCCCATCCAGGTGAATGGCGTTCAGCGCCCTTTTTTGGGGAGGACGGTGGGATGACCTGGGGGTGGAGGGAATCAGATTCAATCCTATTGGGGGCCGGGACGTGCTCCTTCGGGGTAAGTTAGGGCTCGAGGACCGGTGGAGGGCCCAGCCACAGGGGCGGCTTTGCAGCGCCGGCTGGCGGCCAGCTCCCCTGGGGTGCACCCAGGCTGGGCGCCCCCTTGGGCGGCAGGGCCTGGTTTTTGTTGATTAACCACCTGAGTCGTACATGATGGGTTTATACAAGTGGTGTTAATGCCAACCAGTTGGTAAGTCATTCAAGCAAAAGTTTTCACTCACCCTTGACAGCCCGCGAGGCGGGCTTCCCACCGCCCCCTTCCTTGGAACTGTGCTCCCTGAAGATGGCACTTGTGTCAAATGATTAACCCAGACACTTGACACGTCTTCAAAATCGTGACCTGAACCTATCCTCCCTCCCTCTCCACCCCATAACATTACAAGTTAGGGAGGCTACGCATGGACTTGGGAAGAGACAGATTTTAGACCCACAGAGAGAAAATCATTTTCATTTTCCAGGTGAAGAGCAAGTGAATTGGGCATCTGTCCAGCAGGATCTGGAGCGTTGGTCCTTGATTCTTCCTCATTCCTGCATTTCCTGGCACTCCAGGATTCCTCTTTGATTGAAAAATTGGTTGATTTGTGAGGACACTGCCATTGTGTTCCTGTAAAAGTTGGAGAGTTGTAACACCGCACTGCAAGCTCATACTCAGGATTCTCAAAAAGCCTTTGTATTTTTTAAAAAAATATATGTTTTATTGATTTTTTACAGAGGATGGGAAAGGAATAGTGAGTTAGAAACATCAATGAGAGAGAAGCATCGACTTAGTTGCCTCCTGCACACTCCCTACAGGGGATGTGCCTGCAACCAAGCTACATGTCCTTCACCGGAATCAAACCTGGCACTCGCCGAAACCAGTTTGGCTCAGTGGTAGAGTGTCGGTCTACAGACTGAAAGGTCTCGGATTCGATTCCGGTCAGGTCAAGGGCATGTACCTTGGTTGCGGGCACATCCCCGGTAGGGGGTGTGCAGGAGGCAGCTGGTCGATGTTTCTAGCTCTCTATCTCTCTCCCTTCCTCTCTGTAAAAAAAATCAATAAAATATAAAAACAAAAAAACAAAAACAAACAAACAAACAAAAACCTGGGACTCTTCAGACTGATGCTCTATCCACTGAGCCAAACCGGTTAGGCATATATACAGCAGTTTGGGAATTGAGGTCTTAATAGCTCCCTCTCAGAACAAGCTGAGCAGAAGAGTGAATTTCCCTGACTTGAGAAGGGCAGGCTTCCTCCATGTGATGCAAGAGAACAGATGTCTGATACAGAATCACAGTAACAAGATACAGACTCACTGAACCTGCCAAACTTTATTGTAACCGCTATTTGAGCTACTGTCTAAGCTACAAAAATAAAAATTAAAATTAAAAAAGCCTCCCACTTTAGAGAAACTTAAAAAAATTGAGTAGCCACTTTTCCACAGTAGCAAATGTCGCACCAATTTTCTCATGAACGTGCAGTTCTTTCCAGTTTGATTAGTCAAGGAAGACATATGTGCTGTTTTGTGGTTTTATAATGTGTTCAAACCATGTTTTAATGAACTCTGGATGCACCTTTTCGGCTTGTAAAGTTAATACAACTCGATAGAAGAGCCTGGTCCCCAAAGCTATAATAACTGTATTTAAGCCAGAATGCTGTTCCATAGTGCTGGTTAGACTATTTCAGCACGTGATCTTGTTCCTTGAGTCCTTTGACCCAAAGATGCTCTATGGATATAGATTTATAATAAATTTTAAATAGTTCTTTTTTATGATGATTGTTTAAAAACAACTCAGTAGTTATTTTGACTCTGGAATTGTTTTAAATGTTTCTGTTAATAGTTTGGTACAGAATGTTAAGTTTTTTCAATTGGAGTCTTAAGAAAAATTCTTCCTGCAACTTTGGAGCCTAAAGACATTAAAAAAAGAACCATGTCCAATAGTAACACATTTAATGTTCTGAAATCTGTGGGTTATTTGTCTCCATTGTATATTTAAGATGTTTATATCAATAGGGTGCTAGTACTATAAAGAGCCATATAATTATTTACTACTTTAAAAAAATGAGACCTGAAAGTTGCCAATTAATACTGCCTCCTAATATTTAAAGTATCAAAAAGGATATAGAAAAATAAGCAATATTAAACTATATATATATATATTATTTTTTGCTCACCATTTAATAAAAGTAAATTTTATATTTTACTTTTGAAGGTAAGTAAATTTAGTTTTATACTTTTTATACAGATTTTTAAAAATCTACACACCTAGGCCCTCTATAATTTCTCTCCCTACCCCAACAGCAATAAATAAAATATTTAAAATATTGATATAACTTGACTCAAAAAATGAAAGTCTTTATAAAGTAAGTCTCCATCCTTAGTTTAGTAATTTTTTTTGGAGGGAGGGAGCAGAAGAGAGAGACACATCAATTGGTTGCCTCACCCCCACCAGCCAGGGGAATGAACCTGCAACCTAGGTATGCCCACTTGACTGGGAATCAAACCTGCAACCCTTCGGTTCAGGCCTGACGCTCTTAACTATTTAGTCACACCGGCTAGGGCTCCAACTAGCTTCTTTTCCCATCAGTATCACCTTTGTATTGTGTAGACTGGCTTTCTACCAGCTTGGTTTTAGCCATGTTCTTTGACTCTACTATTTCTACACATTAATGTGTGTAACTTACTTGAAGATGCATTACTTAAGTTTGAACATTTTTAGGATAATAATTTTATTATACTACTTTAAATATCTGCTCTGTTGGGAGCATATTCTTCTTTTTTTAAAATAGTGATTTTTTAGAAAGAGGAAAAAAGGGGGCGGGGAGAGACAGACATTGATGAGAGAGAAACATCATTGATTGGCCACCTCCTGTACCATCCCCACTGGGGACTGAGCTGCAACCCAGGCATGTGTCCTGGTGAGGAATGGGACAGGGAACCTCCTGGTTCCTGGGTTGACGCAGGAGCCACATAGCCGGGCAGGGACATACTCTAGACTGTACAAGAACACCTTCCGATGCATCACATTAATTAAAATCTGTTTCCTTAGACATTTGGCATATGACTTGTAACTTGTGCTACTTCTTGACCATTGATAGCAAAAGTAGCAAATCTTATTCACTATCATGTGCCAGGCACTGTTTAATGCTTTACCTGTATTATCTCAAGCAGTTACAATAACCTTCTGAATGAGTTACTCTTGTTGATACAAATGTCTAGAGAAGTTAAGTAACTTGTTAGTTCAAGGGCATACATCTAGGAATTAATCTTGCATGGATAGGAATTTCAGTCTTCTAAACTGAGGGTTCTTAAATATCACTGTCAGTAAATAAGCTCTTCTCTTATGACATCAAAGCACCTAATTATATAACCCTTTCTTGAACTTGGCCATCAGCAAAGATGTTATGAAGAGAACTGAGCCCTTGTTAAAGACTTCATCTTCATTGATTTTCATATTGGCCAATTAAAATTCTGGGCCTGATTATTCTTTCTATTATTCTTTAAAATTTTTAACTTTAAAATATATATATATATATTTTAATCCTTACCTGAGGACATGTTTCTGTTGATGAGAGAAAGAGAGGAAGGAAGGGAGGGAGAGAGAAATATCGATTGGTTGCCTCCCATATGCGGCATACTGGAGATTGAACCCTGCAACCTAGGTATGTGCCCTGATTGGGAATCAAATCTGAGCCCTTTCGGGGCAAGTTTACATGTAAACAAGTTTGCTCTCAATTCCTAGGGCAGAAAAAACAAAACAAAACAAAAAACAAGGTTTAAAATTATTAGATTTTAAAATTTATTCTTAGAAGTGTAAAAGTTTATTAATTAAAAAAGCAACAACAACAAAAGGAGATTGAAAAACCTGATGAACAATAATAGCTGTTCAATGTAGTAGAGTCTGCGATATAGGAGGGGAGTGGACTGACTGTTCTCGGGGAAGGGGAGGGAGAAAGAGACTGAACATAAACTGTGCACCTATGGATGAGGACAATGGGGGGTGGAGGGTGGGGTGGGAACTGGTGGAGGGGGAAGAAATGAGGAACCTTTGTAATAATATGAACAATAAAGATTGATTTAAAAAAAAAAAGTTAAAAAAAAATCTGAGCCCTTGCGGTGTATTGAACAACGCTCTGACCAATGGAGCCTCACCACCCAGGGCAAGGGCCTCATTATTATTTGATTTTTATCTTTCTTAGAAAAGTAAGCAAGAATTTGTTGGCTAAAGCAAAAGTATACTTAGGACAGTGAAACAAGGAAGGGCATGGAAGAAGCAACAGGAGAGCCGAGGCTGGGCTGCTTTGGCTCACTGAGAAGTCAGAGAAAAGGGGGTTCAGGGGGTTAGTCTGGCTGCCACGGCCCGCCGCTCCCCTGATTGCAAGTCGCCTGGGGGGGAGGGAGAGGGGCAAGGGAATAGTAGATGTGTGTTCCCTAGAGGGTGTGCGCTAAGGGCCTCCTTGTCTGTTACCTCACCTTCAGCAGCTAACGTCAGCTCTCTACTTGAACTCTTCGAAGATCTCATCACTAGAATTGCTATACTGTCAATATTTCAAAAACTGAACGAGTCTTCTGATATAACCCCCCTCTGATTCTTGTTCTGCTGATGAGTATGCTGTTTTCCATCATCATTGAACCTCTTGTGGACCGGAAAGTTGGGCACAGGACTCCTTTTATACTCATTGTTTTAACCGTGCATTGGTGAGGTGATGTTGCACAAGAATGACACCCATATTTAATGGAAATGTTAGAGATGATCATCAAGTTAAGAGGAATTAAATATGCTTTTAACCTGAGAAGATCTCTGATTCTTAAGCATCAGAGCTTCAAATAATTTGCTTTTAAGAAATCTCATCCCATGTAGATTAAGTTCAAGGAAGAGTAGGGATTCCTAAAAGAGTCACTGTGGTTATTTGATACACCACACAGTTTTAAAACTGGAGCCCTTGAAAGAAAAAGAAAAAATAAGGTGGGAAATGTCAGGGGATAAGACAAGTGGAGTTACTTGTCATTCTTCCTGACTGGACTAAGCCCATAACAGTTTCTGTCTCCGAGCTTTGTCATAGAACTTGATGCAGTCAATATTTGTTGAGTGGACATCTAATTCCAGAAACTGAAATAACTTTTAATATTATTTTCATGGTAATGCAGAGCCTCTTTGCTCTGTCTTGCCACAGTGATTTCAAAAATGCTTTTGTGAAAAAAGAAGAAAAGACAATAAAACAACCAGCATGCAGCTTTTTTTAAAGAAGGACTTTTCCCCCCTATAAATGGAAGTGCCTCTTTTCTGAGAGGGCACTGACTCCTTAGCCCAAGGACAGTCATCTTCGACCACGTGGAGGTAGCCATCTTGGTTGTTGCAGTGATAATCAATTTGCATATTATTTTATTAAATAGGATAAATATAGTTATGAGGAATCTAGAATCCTTCACATAATAAAGTACGTGATATATATTTTATAAATGATAACATTTTAAAATTTATTGTTAAAAATGATGAAGTGTCTCTCCCTCTATTTCTCTTCATCTTTTCCACTCTATCCCCTCCTCACTCTCTTCCTTCTCTCTAAAAATCAATGAACATATTCTCAGGTGAGGATTTAAAAAAATAAAAAAAAGATGATAAAGGGATGTTCTAGAAAGAGATTGCTTACAAATTATTGTTTCCTGAAAAACTAGAGTAGGAGTTAGTCTGCATGTACATTGTCAGTATCTATAAATGTGATTAGATCATTAGTTTAGAACTAGTCTTTAAAAAGTTTTTAATAAAAAACATCTAAATAACAGTTGACCAAACTGTCACATAAATTCAAAGAAAAGGATGATGGTTGCCAAAAGGGAGGGAACAGGGAGATGGGTACAAAAATACCGAACAGTTGGCTTACTAATGTTAAATGAAAGTTTGCAATAAAAAAATGTTACCTGCTCTTATTGAAAGTACTGCATTGAAATCAGTGTGTTCTAGGTCAATGGCCTCTAAGACTCCAGTTGGATTTATTGGACTCGGCAACATGGGGAATCCAATGGCAAAAAACCTTATGAAACATGGCTACCCACTCGTTATTTATGATGTGTTCCCTGATGCGTGCAAAGAGTTTCAAGAAGCAGGTGAACAGGTAAGATCTCTTCTTAAGATTTTGATGTTTAAAAATGAAGTGCTGAAACAGTTTTTTTGAGAAGGAAAAAATAAGTAAATAACTGTTAAGAGTCATTTTATTTCTGGTAGGAAACTACATCAATACTGTGTATAATCTTTAATCACCTTCAAACAGAAATGAAATGAAAGTTATGGAGACAAGGTCTCTTAGATTCCTGAAAATAAATGAGAAGGTTCTGGAACACAGTCTAAATTATTACTTTTTCCTCTTTTCCAGCTTCCCTGAGAGACGTAAGCGGTGTGAGGAAGGGAGAAGTTGGGTTCTGAGTAGCTGCCCCTCAGAGCAGTGAAGAGTGAAGGCTTGTTTTAGCTTCTAGTGTGCATTTCCCAGCCCTGCCCCCCCCATGGTGGGAAAAGTTGGGTGTGTGGTTCACACTGCAGCAGCAAGCCTGGCAGACAGAATCCTCTTTCCCACAGCCCCTCTCACATCTCTGCTTGCCCAAGAGTCTCAGCTCTAAGAAGTCCTCTGAGTATTGATTATAATAACAGAAACGGAGGGCAGATGAATGAAGGGAAAGAGATAAAGGGTAAAAAAGCTGTGGGCCTGAGGGGAAGTATTGTGTCATAATAAAATGAAAACATTTGTTGACAAATGGTTTGTGCTAGCAGCTTAAACATTCTGAACAGTGTAATCTAGGAATGCTACTTTAAAAGATAACATTAATTTCGATGAATAAGTTCTGATATAGTAAAATGTCATTATTTCATATTTAGTTTTAAATATTTTTGGATAAAATATGTTTCATTCTACTACAAGACAAAGTCAAGACTAGGGATAAGGATGTGATAGAAACATGGAGGTGAAAACCTTGAAACTTCTTGCTATTCTGCACAATAGTGCAATGAAGGGATTAGGGTTTAAAAATTCTGACTATATTTGAGTTGATGGTTATGTTTTAAGGACAGGTGTCCCCTTCCTATAATGTTACTATGTCAAGTGAAGCTGATGAAATGACAATCTTTAAGAAAAGAATTCCCTTCACCCCCACCCAAAGATTGTAGAATTGCTGGCTAGTTGATTCCTAATGTCTACTGTTAGGGGGAAATTTTTAGGGAGAAAAAGTTACAAAATAGGCATATCTGGATTAAAAGCAGTCATCTGGTTCTAAAGATCTTTGGACATCTCCTTGAAGAAGTGCTATTTCTTCTTCTTTTTTCTAAAAAGCAAAATCTGGGGACTTAACTGTTTTATATAACTGAAGAGTTGGGGAGTGGTCTGATCCCAGGCACAGCTGAATTTGGGGCACAGATGTGGTCAGGTTCCTTTCTGCCTGCTCTTGGCCCTGCTTTCTACCTAAATTTTCTCATCTTATAAAGTGGGGATAGTAATAGTACCTTCCTCTTAGTGCTAGAGAACCTGCACATAGTTAAGTGTGTGGTATTTCTACTGTTGTTGTGAATGTTTTGTCTCTACCATATTTCTCCCAAATCTTCACTCTCCAACACCACACAGAGAAACACTACTGTCTTGGCAGAGTCATTGAGTCCAGGGTGCTTTGGAAGAAAACGTAGACATGTTTTTAAGGGAAAGAAGGATGATAAAAATGAAAACAAAGAGATTGTGATTTGACAGCATCATTGCTTAAGAACATGTTCTGCACCATCCCTTCCAAGCCACTTTTATTTTGCAGAAGATACTGATTTCTCTTTTAGCATCAAGGGCAATGACTTGTGCTTCATTTTTGTTTTTATTATCTAAGGAATTTCCCTGGAGATGCCACTGGGATCAGTAAGACTGCCAAAAGTCTTACACTATTTCTGCATGAGTTTTCTGGTTGAACTGGGCTTAATTAGGTTCTCTTTTGTTTTCTCTTTAAAAACTTGGAAAGCATCCTGTTGTTCGTGGGTTGTAAGGCTGAGCATGTCTGGTTAAATAATTCCCCTAGGACTTACTCTGGCATCCACTCAGGTCTTGTTAAATGAGAACTTTAAAAGTCTCTTGCAAAAGAAAAAATAAAACAAAAAAATAAAATAAAAGTCTCTTGCTTAGTGGGCTCCATCATTGTTTACCAAATGTTTCAAGATATAGGCACAAACTACTTTTGTCAGTTTTTAAAGCATAGTGTATGCTTTTCTACTTGGGAAAATTAAAAAACACAAAGTGGCAAATTAAACCCAGGTCATGTTCATCTTATTTCTTTGCAAATTTATCTTACCCGCTTACTGGGAAGCAGTGCTGAGCTTGACTTCTGTGACTTTTGTCAAGAAGAGAGAGCGAGATTTTTCCTCTTTATGTAAAGCAACTAGTTAATGGTCTTATTCCAATGGATATGCATAAAGGAGACGCAATTACTTCTGATTACCTTGGGGTCTGATGTCCTCACCCTTTCTCCTTCCCCTCACCCAGCAAAACAGGTTTTGTCTTTAATTTACCTAGTTTCCTTCTCTGTATTGCACACCTGTCATCGATGTGTACTAACAAATAGATGAATCTAAATCCAGAAAAGTTGTCTACAAAAACTTGTAAAGTCTGTAGATATCATGATACACAAGGGAGCCAATCTCCTGCAGTCAAAATTCAGATTATGGTAGAGTTATCCTTATTCACAATAACATATGAATAATTGGAATTAACAAGAGATTGTTCTGGGATGGCCATGACCATCTGACCATAGCCATGGCCCAGAGTGAGCCAGGCCAGTGACTGTCCACAGAGGCGGAGGTGTGCTGGAGCCCATGCCATACCTTTGTTCTGAGTCATTGCAGAGGCATCAGCACCCCCCCTCACCTACCTACCTCCCTCCCTCCCTCCCTCCCTCCCTCCCTCCATTTATTTATTTATTTATTTATTTAATAGAGGCTGTACCTTCTTAGAACTTAAGGTTACTAAATATGAAAGTTTCTTTGCCTACCTTCCCTTTCTACTTTGGAGATAGAAAACCTTAAAGATAACCCAAATCACTCTTCTTATTTTGTAAGTTCAGAAACTGAAGCCAGACAGGTTAAGTGATTTGCACAAAATCACACATTACTTAGTGGCTGAACTATATGTAACTAAACCTGTGTGTCTGACTTCCCAAATTAGTTTTCCTTTCACTGATCCATGCCATCTTTGCTTATCCATTCAATTAGCAAAGTAATTGAAGGGACTCTTAATTAGTTTGGCTCCTTTTTGTGGTTAGTGTCAGGCAAGCAACAAGGTTTGTGGTTTTTTCCCCCCAGCTTTTGAGTCGTGGCCAAATTTGTCAGTTATTTCAGACTTTTGAAGTCATTACATGGAAGGCAAGATGATTTGAATAGCTGAACACACATGCCTGTCTGTCTAGTAAATATGCCTTCTGTAGTACAAATTAGAGACTTATTATAATGTGCCAGTTGTATCTAGTCATTAGCTATGGCGCAGTTGTGGCCAGTACAGTGATCACATTCCAGCTATCACTATCATTGTGAGTTTTTTCCGGACCTGTGACTTTGACACTACTTTACCGTATAATTGAGGGCTTAGTGGTCCTCTGGCAACAAAGCATCCCAGGAAGCAGATGCTAGGGATGCGGGGGGCTGATTGGCCACCCCATGCACTTGGCAGTTGCATGAATTGGCACCGCCAATTTATTGGCATGAGAACCTTGGAGGTGTGAAGTATCCTTAGGTCTGTGAGCTAATTGTTGGTGCCCTTGAGGGCACCTCTCAAAGAATTATCTAGATGGAATTGAATTTCCTTCAATGGAAGAGTTCCTCTCAATTCCTAAGAGAAAGTCTGAAATTGACTCTTAGACCTTGCGGCTTACTGCAGTCCCCGGAAGATGTGCCATAGGAGGAAAGGCCACTGGGAGGTATGCCACCGTTTTTGCATTGTGTTTCCTTCATTTAAGTGGGAATGAACAGAGGCGGGCTCTCTGTGTAACCCATGTCCTTGATGCAGTCCAGGAATAGAGAACTATGACTCTTAATGACTCCTACAACTTCTTCTTCTTTTTTTTTTCCTTCATCTTACTGAGCTGTATTTTTCTAGAGAGAACTTGAATGGTTTGCCAGGAAATAGTTGCCTCTTTTTGAATCTCAGAATTTATTTGGGTGTAGAAACGGTGTTCATTTAACTTAATTATTTCTTCTTTTTAAAATATATTTTTGTTGATTTCAGAGAGGAAGGAGAGGGAGAGAAACATTGATGTGAGAGGTAAACACACGGGGGATCCTCCCACAACCCAGGCATGTGCCCTGACCGGAATCAAACTGGCAACCTTGTGGGGAATGGGATGACACCCAGCCAACTGAGCCACTCTGGCCAGGACAACTTAAGTATTTCTTTGTCATTGATGGAAAAAATATTTTCCCCAGAATTATTGGTGGCAAATCCCTATGATACATCAAAATATACATACTAAATATGTAAATTATAGACCTTAAAATGCTATATTGCCTTTAAAATGAAACATTAAAAGAGAGAGAATATCTTTTGTTTTTGTTGTTTTGGGTTGTGAGATGTTTGATATCAAGGATACTTGAGTGTCTGAAATTTTAAAGTATGACTTAAATTTGTTTTAAAAAAAGAGATTTATGTTAAAACTACATTTATCTAGAAGGTAGGTGGTAGTCCGTTATGGAAAATTGAAATGTAAATTACTTCTAGCTTATAATATTTAGGTTACACGCTGTGCTTGGTTTCCCATTCTTTTACTCTTCATCAAAGATGACAAGAAAATGTTATGTGTATTTTCACCACATGAAGTGCATAGGCTTTTCCATCCTTAAGGTGCTTACATGTCACTTAATATTCTCTGTAGAGAATATGTCAATTTCTAATACATATGTCAATCATTCTATGGAGAAAGCTTCAGTTATCCTCCTGTTAATCTTTTGTCTTTTTCTAAAGAGAGAGACAGCTTTAGAGGAGCTTTTGGGACAGTTGGGTGATGGATTCTTTCTGTTAAAGCAGAGTTTGAGTCAAGGGTGAGTTCCTGGTCTCTTCTGACTTCTTTGGTTGCTGAGTGGCTGGCCAGGTGAATCCAGGTGTGTATATATGAAGGAGATCAAGGGGTTGAGGTATGTGAGTAAGGGTGTGTACACCCATGCGGCATGCACACATATAGAGATTGAATAGAGCAACTTTACAGTCAGTTTCTGGTCATCATGGAAGCAGAAATGAGGGTTGAAATGAAAGCATAGCTTGATGCGTATTTGTATGTCTGTCTTGTATATAGTTTCCACATGAGCCTTGGTAGCTTAATGGTATGCTCTCACCTTCATGGTAGTACTCAAAATCAGTGCAGGAGTGCTCATGTCCTTGTCCTGACCTTTTCTTTTCTGAACCAGGCAGAATTCTTTTTTTGTTTTGTTTTGTTTTGTTTTGTTTGTAAATCCTCACCCAAGGATATTTTTCCCATTGATTTTGAAAGAGTAGAAAGAGTGTGTGTGTGTGTGTGTGTGTGTGTGTGTGTGTGTGTGGAGAGGAGAAAAACATTGATGTGAGAGAGACACATCTATTGGTTGCTTCCCACATGCACTCCACTTGGGCCAGGAATCGAATCTGCAACTCAAGTACATGCCCTTGACTGGGAATTTGGTGCTCAGGCCGACGTTCCAAGTGGGAGGTGCATGAGCCAGGGCTTTCTTCTTCTTTTGTATGAAAATAGAGACTAGAGGATCCAGGCTTGATCATTCTACTAGGAGACTTTTGCTGCCCTTTGAAATACCTGTAAACCCTTAGTTTGATTACCAGCCCCTCTTGTACTAGAATGTTTTTCTTAGTCAAAGTATCTACCAAAAAAGCATGCTATTTAAGAATCTAAGTTGGAGGAATCCCTGAGAAGTCTGTTCCCAGGACTGTTGAGTTTTGCCCTTTCCCCACAGTTCACTTCACACTTTTTAAAATAAACAGTAGATTTGATTCTATACAAACTGCATCTGTATGTGTGTAAGAATGGACTCTGTTTTAGGCAGTAAACTTTTTCTTGTCATTTGGAATCAAGGATGAGTTTTATTCACTGTCACTGTTATCAGCATGCATAAAAACTGGATCCTACTTTTGCTCTAGAAACTGCTTACGTTTTTATTTAAACGTGTCTTTTAAATTTTTTTTAAAGGTAGTGTCTTCCCCAGCAGATGTAGCTGAAAAAGCTGACAGAATTATTACCATGTTGCCCACCAGTATGAATGCAATAGAAGCTTATTCCGGAGCAAATGGAATTCTGAAGTATGTATTTCTCAACTGGATATTTTCTCATTATGATAGTTCATGAATTTCACATTTGTTGAAACTATTAAGAAATTACAGTTACGCTGGTTAAAACTTTCCATACTGTTTTCTTATTTCTTAAAAGTGCATGATGTGGTTTCTTTCTCGTTGTAAAGGGTTTGTTTTTTCAGTGAAGTCAAGTATGTGACTTTTGGGAACATTTTTTTTTTTTTTTTGCTTCCGTTTCTTTCCTTTAACTCTTGCATTAAACGTATGCTTTCATTGGTAACATGTTTAAGAGACTTTTAAAGCTTGCATGTTAAACTCTACAAATGTTACAAGCATAATATGGTTTATAGAAATTCAGGAAAAGGTTTCGATGAAAAATAAAACCAAACATTGGAAAGACACCATTATTTAACACTTTATTGTGTAATAAAAAGTTATTGTATGTCCTCTGGGTTAGCACATCTGCAGTAAGAACTTTGAGGGGTTGGAATTAAAGGTTAGCAGTTGCTCTTTAAATAAAATATAATTTAGGTCAGAGTTTCCCCTAGCCAGTGCCTCGCTTCCCTGGCTTCAAGAACCCCCTGGCTAATTGCTGCCTATGGCCAAACCCTTGTGGTTTTGTTAGGATGACAGTGGTTGAATTCCCAATTTAGTTTTCTGCTCTTACTGGTTCCTGTTCCTAACTTGTTTTGTTGTTGAATTTCAGCAAATAAGTAGAACAAAAGGGTAGGCTCTGAAGAAACATGAAGGGCTAAAACGAAAGGGATTCATTTCATGAAGCTGTAATATGAAATTTGAAGTTTTTGGAAATTGAATTGCTTTGTAAAACTAACAAACCTGGAAGCAAAAGACAATTGGATATAGGCAGAAAACTGATAAGATAAATGTTTAGTTTCAGGGAGGGTTGAAACACACTAACTTTGGATGGAGCCCTCAGGCCCACAGTGTGTGTGGTCCTGAGGTGACCTCGCTATCTTGTTACCTAGTCAATTCCAATTATGGCCCTGCTTCACCTCTCAAGGAAAAGTTACTAAAAACTTGGGTGGAGAGAAATCCTACGTTTATTAATACCCTTTACTAACGAATATGGTGGCCAACTACCGAAGCAGTCTTATTAAGGGCGTGCTTTGAAAGAGTTCGGCTTTACTTTGAGCTATAATTTGCTTTTCATGGTTGGTTCTTGATTTTCTTCTGAGTTAGGATAATTTCCCCACATCCAGGTGCTGCATAATTTTTTAGATGATTTCCCATTTTTTAAATAAGATCTTAAAATTAGTATCACTGAAGACCGGTAAACTTAATTTTTATTTTTTAAGTTACATGAAGTGAAAATCTACGTATTGGGGTGATCTGTATTAGAATATATTGTTTCATTTTCCTGTGGAATATACACAATTACTGCACTTGGACCAGATCAATGTATATATCTAAAATTGTTATAAACATTTTATGTGCTATTTTTTTCTATAGGAAGATTTTTATTTTCTGTAGTATTTAGAAAGGATTATATATTTACCCCTTTAATATTTCTATTTATTCAGTTCTAATTTTCCAGTCATAATTCTGATTAAATGTCTTAGGAAGGTTTTTTTTTTTTTTTAATATATTTTATTGATTTTGTACAGAGAGGAAGGGAGAGAGATAGAGAGTTAGAAACATCGATGAGAGAGTCATCGATCAGCTGCCTCCTGCACACCACCCCCTACTGGGGATATGCCCGCAACCAAGGTAAATGCCCTTGACCGGAATCGAACCCAGGACTCTTCAGTCCCCAAGCCGATGCTCTATCCATTGAGCCAAACCGGTTTTGGCTTAGGAAGTTTTAATTAAAGGTTACCCATATGCCCTAGCTGGTTTGGCTCAGTGGATACAGTGTTGGCCTGGAGGCCAAAAAGAGTCCTAGGTTCAGTTCCAATCAAGGGCATGCACCTTGGTTGCAGACTCCTCCTTGGTTCCGGCCTGGTCAGGCCATGTGCAGGAAACAACTAATCGATGTGTTTCTCTCACATTGATATTTCTTTCTATCTTTCCCTCTCTCTTCTCTCTAAAAATCAATGGAAAAATAACTTCGAATGAGGATTAACTAAAAAATTAAAAAATAAAGGTTAACCATAGTCCTTTAAATAAAATATAATTTAGGTCAGTTTCCTAGCCAGTGATATAGAGTACAAAGGAATTACCTAGGTATATTGTCTGCACTTATAATACAAACAAAAATGTTTTACTATAAGAATGCCATTTAAATATTGGTGTGAAATATGATATATGAAAAGGCTTCTTCCCTCTTTTAACAAAGAATGTATATAAATTTACTATAAAGAACAAAAAAACTTTGTGAGATTTCCAGGTCCATTCCTATATTTCCCTTTCTGCCAGTTTGATATTTTAATTTGCCTTTAAAAAATTAGTATTAAAGAATACACCATCCTGAAGCAAATGGCTAAATTTCAAATTGCTTATGTTCTACCGAGTGGAAATTACATGGATATCTGAAATTTGCAATCTTTTTGAAGGCAAATAAATTACTTTTAAAATAAACCCTGCTACTTAAAAAACAAACAAAAAAACCCCCATCTAAATCCTACCAAATACCTCTTTTAAAGTTCATAGATACTTTAAATTGCTTAAGTCTTAGCTTCCCTATTTTATTATGATTAGAGTGTATTTCATCTAAAACCAGAATTTATACCATATAGTTTATTAGATTATTTTGGTTTGTTTGAAAGAGTTTGGGTTTACTTCAAGCTATAATTGATCTGAAAATGAATTTGAGATTTTGAACCATTTCTGATAATTCTTTAATACTAAACCAAAGATGACCTTGATATCTGGCAGCTTTTAGCAGATTCTGGTTCTGTAGGTAGTTGCATGAAATGTATATTTAGCATTGTAAACTATATTTTTAAAGCTATGTTTTTTTTTAAAAAACTGCATTTTTATTTATTTACTTAGAGAAGTGAAGAAAGGCTCACTATTAATAGATTCCAGTACTATTGATCCTTCGGTTTCAAAAGAATTGGCCAAAGAAGTTGAGAAAATGGGAGCAGTTTTCATGGATGCCCCTGTTTCTGGTGGTAAGTAGTATTAAAAAAAAATGCACACCTATTTCAATTTGTCAAATGTAGCTAGAGGGGGCCAAAGGAAGAAGGGGGAGAATATGAGACATCTATAATACTGTCAACAATGAAAATAAAATTTAAAAGAGTTGTGATTAAGATTTTGTGGTTCCCAAGATATATCCAGTTATTTTTAGACCTGTTACAGGAATTCTCAATTCCTTCATTAAAAATAAAAACAAAATGAATTATGTTATTTAGTGCTCTCAAACACATTGCTTATTCTTGATTCAGATAAAAGGAAACCACAATTTTAAAAAGTTGTAAATTTTTTATTAAAATTGCTGTGGGTAGGGATAGATCAATTCCTGGAAACTTGGACTTTTCAGAATTGATTTAAGAAATAATGAGCTTGAATAATCTTATAACTTAAAGAAGTTGACAAGAAAGGAAATAGGAAATAAGATCACTTCATAAAGGAAACATTAGGCTGAGTTGATTTTTATGGATGAATGTTACCAAAATTTCAAGGAGCAGATCATCTCAATTTTATACAAACTTTTCCAGACAATAGAAAAGGAGGAAATGTTTTCCAACTAATTCTACAAGAGCTGTATAACTCTGATACTTAAATCAGACAGAAACATTGTGAGAGAAAAATTATAGGTCTATATTAGTCATGAATGTAGAAGTGAAAACTTAAAAAATACACCAGCAAGCCGAGACCGGTTTGGCTCAATGGATAGAGCATCGGCTTGGGGACTGAAGGGTCCCGGGTTCGATTCTGGTCAAGGGCATGTACATTGGTTGCGGGCATATCCCCAGTAGGGAGTGTGCAGGAGGCAGCTGATCGATGACTCTCTCTCATCGATGTTTCTAACTATTCTCTCCCTTCCTCTCTGTACAAAATCAATAAAATATATTTTTTAAAAAATACACTAGCAAGCTGAATTTAACCGTATATAAAAAAGATCAAACGCTACAACCAAGTTTGGTTTATCTCATAATGTACAAATGGTTTAATATTAGAAAACCTATACATACATTTCATCACATTAACATTTAAAAATCATGTGATCATCTCAATCAGAATAAGAAGACCCACTAATAAAATTCTCAAAGCTGATTATTATATCAAATATTAAAAGTGGGTATCTGGGTTTTTTGGAATGGCATGATTGTGGGTATTATGATTTTCCATGATTTCCAAATTTTCCAAATTGTGTAATCAAATACCATATGTAGACACACATATGGATATATATACATACATATCATATATATATACATACATATCATATATATATAAAAGGCTAATATGCTAAGTGTCTGACCAGTAGTTATGATGTGCACTGACCACCAGAGGGTAGACGCTCAATGCTGGAGCTGTTTAGCTACAGTGTCTTGGTAGTGGGCGATTCTTGGGGGACACACCCTGAGACCAGAGAAGAGGGAGACCGATTCTTTGTGGGGCCGTGCGATTCCATCTTCGGCCATCGGTTATGTTGTTGCTGGGGCACTGTTGGCCTGGAATCTGGCTTACTGCACACTTGCGTTTGCGTTCCACACCCTGTACGACAGCAACTTTGCAGAGTGCCCTCTCGCACTCCAGGACCCTGTGGAAAGTGTCGGAGAGCCAGTTTCAGCCCGATCCCCACAGGCCAGGTCGAGGGACCCCACCTGCTGGAGGGACCCTGCTCACTCTGTAAACACCAAGGAGAGACTGCGGAGCTTGGCTCCAGGGTGTGTCCAGCCCGTTTTGTCCAGTTCCACCCTGCCAGTCACCTAATAATTTTCTTTCAATGTGCATGAATCCATGCACTAGGTCACTAGTATAATTATAATTGTATAGCAGTGGATAGTGGAACAGCATTTTTATTCCAATTATATTAAACTTAATTGTAGGCTTTGGAATTCAGAAATAACAAAATATATTAATTTAAATCAGTTTCTGTTTTTTTCATAAAGAATATAATGGTTTGTAAAGCTATCTTATATATCTTAAATATTTTTTAATGTAAGTGGAGGTATAAATAATTATTAGCCCCTCTAATTGTTACATGGAATTGGTTAAGTAGGATTTAGGAGTAAAGATTTACAATGTGAGCCTGGCTGGTGTGGTTCAGTGGTTGAGCATTGACCCATGCACCAAGAGGTCACTGGTTAGATTCCTGGCCAGGCCACATGCCTGAGTTGAGGGCTTGATCCACAGTAGGGGCATGCACGAGACAGCTGATTGATAGCACCTTGCTTGCAAGGGGCACGCTTCATTCTTGCTTTCACACAATGAACATTTATTGAGTACTTCGTATGTGCTAGGTAGGTTCTAGGCACTAGATTTACAGCTTTGAGGATATTCAGAATCTTATCTCATGGAGCTTATATGTATAGAAATAGAATAAACAAATTAACAAAGATAATTTCATTGATAAGTGAGTGCTACGAAGGAGAAAAAGGCAGAGTAAACTGTTAAGGTGACAGACTCCTTTTCTGTAGAGTTGGCAGGCTGCCCTCTGGGGAAGTGACCTCTGAGCAGATATGTGATGCACTGCCCGAGGGGCTCTGAGACATTGAACAAGCTCCGTGTGTTCTCGAACCAAGACGCACAGGTAGTTCACTCAGTTGTTAAATTGAAACACACATTGACGCCCCTTGTGTTTAAATCACGCCTTTGCTGAGCAGTTTGTAGTTTCCAAAGTAAAGCTAACTGGGCATTTTATAATGGGCTAATTAGTAATACTGGCCTCATTAGTATGTCTTGTGTAAGTCACATTTTTATAAAAATTGTCATCATTCTTTCATATCCCCAGTAGGGGATGTGCAAGAGGCAGCTGATCGATGACTCTCTCTCATCGATGTTTCTAACTCTCTATCTCTCTCCCTTCCTCTCTGTAAAAATTAATAAAATATATTTTAAAAAATTGTCATCATTCTTTAATGTCCTCTGTTGTTTAGTTGCACTGTCTTGGATATAGGCATGTTTTCTCTAAGTGTGTAGTGGGTCTGTTACTGCAGAGCTAGTTTCTATTTGATCAGCTCTCTCGTGTAATGAATGCTAGACATAAAGCGAATTAAAAACTATTGTTTGTGACTAAAGACCAGGACTGCTCAGTCTGCTCTCGGGGCATAATTAGAGCACTTAACTGTGCTTGAATAATTGAAGAATAAACTCACTGATTGCCTAATATGTCTGTAGATTTGCATAGAGACTTGAGCGGAGTCACTCTGCAGTGGCACTTACAGCTCGCCCAGGGCTCTCTGTGCTGGCAAGCCTCCCTGATGTGCTAAGCTGTATTGCTCCAGTTAGGGTTTAATGTCAAATTAAAAAATTGCACTTGTGTGTACGATTGTATAACAGCTCCCTCCCAGGAAACCAAGTTTTATACTCGACTTGGCTGGGTTGCGTTTCAGTGATTTGTTTGAGGTATTCTTACACCGCGGAGATGTGAGCGCACAACCTGTGGAGGAGTTTCTCTTAGCGCTCGCCTTGCTGGCTGACTTCTTCACGAAAGCCTCACTGGACTCCCATTATTGTTTTTAAAATCAAGTGTGCAGCTTGGCCTTTCCTGCTCACTGAGCTGGGTATGTACTGTGTTTTCCACTAGATCTGTATCTAATTTATGGTAAAGGGACCACAAAAACAAAAATTATTTCTATTTTGGCACCTAACGCCAGTGTAGTTAAGGGACTGCTGGCATTTTTCTTAGAGAGGTTTATAACTTGGCACTTTTACTTGGCTTTGGGCCGAGACATTGCTATTTCTGTCCAAAAGCAAATTCTTTACCAAATTTCATAACTGAATGTGCTGTGGTTTATAACATGTGGAGGGGGAAGAGCTGTCACAATAGGTCTTTGATGCTCTGTTATGCTGTTTGGTTACAAAGTAGAATTGTGTGTGGTGTTTATGCATACATGTTAGTCTTTCCCTAATCTGATTTCATTGTTTTTAATGTTCTGAAATAAGTTGGTTTAACATGATTAATAGAATTAATTTTTATGGGTTCTTCCCTTTAAAGAATTATATTATGTGATGATATTTTTTCATTCTTTTTAACTTATCAACTTCTATTATTTATTATTAAAGTAAAAAGTACTTTTTGGCATTGGTCTTTGTATGAGAGACTTGAAAAATTTTAAATAAAATAAGCCTCTCCTTGCACTAATTTGGTGGTATTTAAAGCTTTAGTGAAAGACAAATGTCATATGATTTCACTATTATGTGAAATATGAAGATTAATATAAACGAACAAACAAAACCGAAACAGTCTCATAGATACAGTGAACAAACTAATGGCTGCCTGAGGGATGGGGGTTGAGAAGCTTTGTGAAAAAGGTGGCAGGAAGTGCAAATTGGTAGTTACAAAATAGTCATAGGGATGTAAAGTATTGCACAGGGGGATATATCTATCTATCTATATAAAAGGCTGATATGCAAAGTGTCCCCTTGGGAGTTTGTCTGGGAGACTGGGAGTTCGCTTGCGCTGACCACCAGGGGGTGGTGCGGAATAAAGGAAGATCCTAGCTGTCGGCCAGGGAAGGAAAGCCCTGATCGGTCTGATCATTGGCCAGGCCTAGGGACCCTACTCGTGCATGAATTTTGTGCACTGGGCCTCTAGTAGAGCCAGTAATATTTGTGAGAGTGAAGCAGCAATCTTTTCTGTCAAAGAAAGGAGGGGGTCGCCATGTTGGGCTCCTCCTTACCTCACTCCTTCCTCTGAATTAGCCAATTGTGCAGTTATGTGAATCTGAGCTTTGAGTTCTGACCAATCAAGTCAGAGTCAGAGTGAGGGGCAGGGCAGACCATGTTAGAATCAAACTCGAATGGACTTTCCATTGGGTGCCACCGTTGCCTAGCATTCCCAATATTTTCTAGTGACTGTAGGCCTGGTGCATGAAATTTGCACATGGCCAGCAGTCAGGGCTCATCTGTGGGGTGACCATTGGGGCGATCGGGTTCCTGCTCACACCCGCCTTGGCCTGGTGCCACCCGCTCACCGGCCCTGCCTCCCAACCACCAG